TAAAGTTATGGAGCTCCTCTTAAGATTTTTCCTGTCTAAAATTAACTCCAATTCCATCCTGCTGCTAATAATCAAAAACAATTTAAAGTTTGATCATGTTTCTATTTCAGAGCAAGCAGGCTTCAAGTTTTACAGTTCTGACATGTGTATCTATAACCACAGGAAGTATTCTTTGACAAAACACATACTAAAGATTGCATAGCATGCTAACTTTCCTCCCATTTTCCTTTTATGCTAAATTGCACTTGACTTTATGGTGTTACCTCATCTGTTTTTCTTTAAACAATTAGGTAACGCATAGCTGTTTCCTGAAATCCAGATCGTTATTCAGAGCTAGAAGCAGGAGAATTGTATTGATCAGACGTGGGCAGTATCTTACTTTTTTGGGTTTGTATGAACTTTACTCTTTGTATGTGTGGCTTTAAAAAAACAAAATCCTGTCAGTCCCTGAAAGATGGATGAAGAGGTAATGGGGAGGTACTGTGGAGTTTTGGTAAGAAATTATCCTGCCATCTTTCTGTCCCTTCTCCCTGTAGACAGAATGTGGATAAGATGAAACGCTGAAATCTGCAAGTCCACCAGCATTTGGTTTGAAATTCTTAGAGTGAGTTCATAAAGGCCTCCTTGCTAACAGTCCTCTGTTCTCTTTGGCAAACTCATAAAGGTTTGGCGTTTCCGTCCATCATTAAAGATGTATTAAGTGTCTGCTGTGTCCCGGGGACACAGGAAAAGGCGCTGGAGTCACAGAGGAAAATCAGACATGGTCCTGCCCTCAGGCTGTTTACATCCGAGCTGAGAGGATGACACAAAGAGCAATAAAGCTCATTACGCCATTGAAATACATACGGCACTAATAACTAGTTTTCTAGCAAAAAGTCACTTGAGGGCAGGAACCGCGCTCATTTCTGGCTCCCTGTAGAGCGCTCTCTGTGTAGTACATCAGCAATAAAGATTCATTCAATGGAACTGAACGTACAAAAACAGAACCGTTTCTCTCTCACAAATCAATTTACCCAACTTTTCTATTTCTGATATGGGCACCATCTTCTTTGCCGCTACCCATATCCAAACCTGTAGGTGACACTGGAGGCCCGTTCTCCTCCGTCCCCATATCCAGGAATGCCCATTCCTTTTGGGCTTTTCCTCTCAACTGGTCCTAGACTGGTTCACTCCACCCCAGTTTGAGTTATTACCATTCTAAGTGTCGCAAACTTTTTTTTAAATTTTTATTTTATATTGGAGTATAGTTGATTTACAGTGTTGTGTTAGTTTCAGGTATACAGCAAAGTGATACAGTCATACAAATACCTATATCCATTTCTTTTCAGATTCTTTTCCCATATAGGTCATTACAGAATAGTGAGTAGAGTGTCCTGTGCTCTACAGTAGGTCCTTGTCGGTTATCTATTTTATATATAGTGGTGTGTATATGTTAATCCCAATCTCCCAGTTTATCCCTCCTCCGTCTAGTCACTCCACCCCAGTTTGAGTTATTACCTTTCTAAGTGTCGCAGACTTCTTTTTTTTAATTTATTTTTACATTTTTATCTTTTATTTTTGTAAGTGTCGCAAACGTCTGACCACTCTTTTTTTCTTACCTTTCGGCGTTCTTTGGTACAGTCATCCCGCCACCATGATGATGTCCACACTTAATTCCTGTATCTCCTGGTCTTATCTCCTCAGGATCCTCTGCAGGCATCCTTTGCTCCTTCTAAATGGAGTATCTTCTGTCCTCCTGGAGTCCTCCCACTTTCCCCCTCTCTGTCCTCAGGGTTCTAAGCTCCCTCCCCATCTGTTTCCAGCTTTCAAAATCCTAGTGTTTGCATCATTTGGGGGTTTTGGTTGCAAGAAGGGAGAGTACCTCTGGCTATCTTAAGCAGAACAGGGACTTACTGAAGGATATCAGGTAGTTCGCAGAGGGCGGGGCTGGAGGAGCTGGGAGAGGGGGAGACCAGGAGGGTTCATGGCCTCCGTAGGGAAGTTCTGGGATCCTTCCGGCAAAAGCAAACTCCATCTCTTCCTCCCTGGCCTTTGGTACCCTCTCCAGTTTCAGAGTCCTGAGTGGGAGGGGTTTATTGGCCCATCCCAGGCCATTTGTTCTCATGGGGCGTCTGGGAGTAGAAAGGCTGAGGAGGCCACTCTGCTTCCTGCCAAGGCCAAGGCTGGAGAGAAGGAAGGAAGAAGTCGAAGTGCAATGACTTTCTCCCAGGAGCTGAGATGCCTGGTGGCCTCTTGGCCAAGCCTGAGGTCACTGGAGGAGGAGCTCCCTCGGGAAGGAGATAAGTTTCCTTCTGAACCTGGTGATGTTGAAAAGCTGAGGAGCTGCCCAGAGGGGCTGCAGATGAGCAGGAAGCTGTCTAAGCCTGCCGATCTGGGAGTTAATCACTGAACATCAGGCTGGAAACGTACAAAACATGACCAACTCTCTTTAAAAAAAGGCACGTATCAGAAGAAAAACAAAGGGTCAAAGTGTGCTTTGGGAATATGACTTTTAGAGTTTGGGAGGACAGCATGCCCGACAAGGACAGACGTGGGCAGGTCAGAAAGGTAGCTGTGTTACATAATCGAACAGACAACCGCATTTCAGGAAATAGCACAAATGCCATGTGCTTCGGAAAACTGCATGGGATAAAGACCGAGAAAGAGACATTGGGTTTTAGATAATGTCCTTGGTGACTTTACAAAGAATCAGAGAAGGGGCTTCCCTGGTGGCGCAGTGGTTGAGAGTTCGCCTGCCGATGCAGGGGACGTGGGTTCGTGCCCCAGTCCGGGAATATCCCACATGCCGCGGAGCGTGGGCCATGGCCGTGAGCCATGGCCGCTGAGCCTGCGCGTCCGGAGCCTGTGCTCCGCAACGGGAGAGGCCACAACAGTGAGAGGTCCGCGTACCACACACACACAAAAAGAAAAAAGAATCAGAGAAGGATGAGGACTTCAACTCCTGTTTCAGCGAAGGTTACAAAACAGACAAGCAGTAAAAAATTGGGTCAATGTTGTTATACCCATTTTGAGTAAACTAATTTAAAATTGGGCCAGACCACTTACTATAATTCTGCTTTCTTTATTAGGAAGACAAAGTTTTCACAAAACAATGGACTGAGGGAGCTTCTTTCTCAACACCACGGAGCAGGTGGCTGTCCAACTCCCTGACTTTGGACCCATCCTGGCTCAGTGCACTGTATCCCCTCCAGCCACTGACCACTGACTGCTTCCTACTGCCAGGAAGCATGCCGGGGACTTACAGGGGAGCGAGGTAAATATTATCTCCGCATTTGATAGATTTTAGATAGGTTCAGAAACACTTGTTCCGGAGTTGAAGAAGCAGAGAGTCAACCACTCAACTGCGACTTCAAAGTTATACGAGCTCCAAGGACCCTCCTTGGGTACTTCTGTTGGGGAACAAGGAAGGGCATGAGCCGTTCGTTCAGTGACAACGCCTTGTCACCTTGGGTAAACTATTATTGCTTTAATATAATGAGAAACCAGGAGCCTAAGAAGGAATCTCATTAACATGGATCGGGGCTATTCCACCAGGAAATCAGAATCATTTGAATACTAGGATTTCCTTTTGGGAAGCCATATGGGGAGGGGATTGATGACAGACATCTGGATACGTGTGCCTGTTTAAGGAACCTTGCGTCTTTCCCTCTCCTCTGGGGTTACAAGTAAGCATGTGGCCAGGTGACAGGAGGGTCCCACTACCAGTGACAACTCCTTCTGGGGCCCACATTCCTACAGCTCTTTCCAGGATTCTGCCCGGTGGGCGGGCTCGAGCCTGACACGAGGGAACTCAGGCACACACTTTGGTTTTCCTCCCCTGCTTTTAAGAAGTGCTTCCGACGATAATAGAGAGTCAAAAAGTGTCTGGTTGGGAAAGTAAATAGATACAAGGCAAATAAATAAAAATGCCCAGAAGCAGTTACAGAGAGGAAGTGACATTTTTCTGTAAGTCACTTTTCTGATGGACCGCAGGCCTGCCTCGCCGAGGGTGCCAGGCGAAGGCTTCCGGGAGGGGGGCGGTGGCCGAGCCCCAGGGCGTCCCGATAAGAAAATCAAACAAAAAGACGATGGAAAGACCACCCGCCGGTCCTTCAATACCGAAGTTGCTGCCTTGCTTGCCTCTCGCGTCCTCCTATTCGCTCCGCCAGCGCGCAGGGTCGGAGCGGGGCCTCCCCTCCCCTCCCCTCGGCGCCCCGCTCGGCTCCGTGCAGGGTCCCCCGGGCCGGGCTGCGCCCCCGGCCGAGCCGCGAGCCGCGAACCCCGCGCCGGTCCCAGCGCCGCCCGAGCCCGGCCGCCGTGCGCGCCCAGGTGGGTCCCGGGCGGCGGGCGCGCGGGCCTGGGCGGCCCCGGCGGCGTCACGGGGCGGAGCGGAGGAGGCGGAGGAGGAAGGGCGCGCGGCGGGCGCTGCCGGGAGGGGCGGGGGCGCCGCGGCGGGAGCGGAGGCCGGAGCAGAGCGGGCCGGCGGGCGCGGGGCTCGGCGGCGGGGGTCGGCCGGGCCCGCGGGGTCCGCCCGGGCCTGAGCGTCCGCCGAGCG